ATACCCCCCCCCCCCCCCCCCCCCCCCCCCCCCCCACCCCCCCCCCCCCCCCCCCCCCCCCCCCCCCCCCCCCCCCAATTCAAGCTCCGTGGCTTCGGTGTACATCTAGCTCATCTGCCAACCCTAGCCTCCGCCTTGGATCTATCGCTCCTAACTTCCAAGCCGAGACTACCAAAGGTCCCATCGACTTCCATGAATTCGTCGGCGACGGTTGGGTTGTTTTCTTCTCCCACCCGGAGGATTTCACCCCAGTCTGCACCACAGAGCTCGGTGCCTTTGCCAAACTCGAGCCAGAGTTCACCAAGCGAGGTGTCAAGCTGATCGGTCTATCCGCCAATACCCGCGGCAGTCACGAGAGTTGGATCAAGGATATCGATGAGGTTACAGGCGGTCACGTCGCCTTCCCTATCATCGCCGATAAAGATCGCAAGGTTGCCTATCTTTACGACATGTGAGTACCCAATCACGCGTCCTTGACTAGTCTAGAATTGAGTTTTAATAGAGACGTTCGTGACGTTTAGGATCGACTACCAAGATACTACCAACGTTGACGAGAAGGGAATTGCCTTCACGATTCGCTCTGTGTTTATCGTCGACCCGAAGAAAACCATCCGAACCATCCTGTCCTACCCAGCTTCCACTGGCCGAAACTCAGCCGAGGTCCTGCGCATCGTCGACTCCCTCCAGGCCGGAGACAAGCACAAGATCACCACGCCGATCAACTGGGTTCCCGGCGACGACGTCATCGTTCACCCCAGCGTCAAGAATGAACAGGCTAAGGAACTGTTCCCCGAATTTCGCTCCGTCAAGCCATATCTTAGGTTCACACCTCTACCTAAGGAGAAGGCCACTGTCTCGTAAAAATTTGGGTTGTGGCATGTGGGAGGTAGTTGCACAGCTCTAACCTAGCAGTATTATTAGTATATGAGATGCTTAGACGAGCTTGCCTAAGATGTCGTATCGTAGGGTATTTCCGATGGAAGAATGAACCCCTGGCTTGACGCTTCTCAAATTAGGTACAAATAATATAAAAAAAAATATCGAACGAAGAAAGGAAGAATTTTCCAACTTTTAACCTTCCTTCTTGTATCGCTTCAGCTTGGAATGTCCATTATTATTACCTCCCTATGTATATGCCAATGTACGATATAAAGTAAATTTTTCGGGTTTTGGTTCAAACATTAAACATCAAACATTAATTTATATATTTGTATAGGACGTTCGGAAGCACATACGTATTTTTTGTCTCCTAATTAGGTCTCCGATCTTGGAATAAATCTTGAAAAGCGATGAAAAGGAAGCACATTTTTAGAGCTTTTATATCTAGTCACCGTATATCCAGTGTGATGTTATAGACATGTGATCATACATGTATGTAAGGAGGTGAATTCATCAATGCTTCATAATCCCTGTAATAAACGTGGCTTGTGGGTTATTCGAGGCTGGGTCCCAAGGTACCTATTCACTTACGAATCAAAGATTTGGTAGGTAGAAATTTAATTCCAACGCCGTATATTATGTACTTATCCGCTAAGCAAGAATTTACCTGTTTGCTGAGCCGATAGTTTCCTCGTAGCGTGGGTATATCCAGGATCCGTCTCCGCACCTTTTTTTAGTGCTTTGCCCAATTATTGCATAAATCTCGCATGCGAAGCACAAAGGTACTAAGGCATCACAATACGCAGTAAGATCTAAATTTAATTCATCAATCAACGCACTACTTTGCCTTAATTCAATGTTTCTCCCCACCTAAGAATTGACATAACTCCTCAACCTCAAACTTGGCCTCCACCCCCTTTTCCCCCCTTACAATAGTACTATAATATCCAGCAGCCAGAATACGAACGTCCGTGCGATCAGATACAATCCGGGCTTCTCGAGTGCCTAGGTTACTCAGCGGTTTATACAAAGGAAATATAAATCGAGAAGGAAAAAAAGAAGTCACAGAAAGGCAGAGGTAGACTGTGCGAACGAAAGTGAGAACGCGCAAGACAGAGTGAAAAGGCGGCGGTAAAAGAAGACAGGGAAATACGCACACGCCGACGCGCCGACGGAGTATTTAAGATTGCCAATTACGACGTCGACCAAGAGGGCCTTTTTTGCCTACTAAAAACCGAGGTATGTCATCGAACCACCTTAATACTGTCGTCCATTCTTCCCGTATCCATAGTCCCATAGTCCCATACCGCCTCTACACTATGTACAGCAATTCTCCATGCTCGTCAAGCTTCTCGTGGAACACACACCCCCTGGTCTGGAGCCGCCTTGTGGCTTCTTAGTTAGCCTTGGCTCCGTCGTCAGCGTGTCTCCGTTTCAACCTTGGATCATCGGGCTGTCGGGGGCAAGAAAAAAGGTCCCCTGCTTTCTCTCAACCCTGACGCAGTATTTCCGCTTCTAATATTACCTCTCCGGCCCTGCTCCCCCGGCCGCCCTAGCATCGCAACAGAGTAGTACTCACCCAGGTTCCTGGCACCCTATCTGCCTATCCGCCTATCTGCTTCTGAGGCTCATCCTCCTTACCCTTTCAGCTCCTTTCTTCAGCCTCACAAATTTGCCGTGGATCTATGGTCAAGAGGGAGGTGGTCAAACATGTCTGCATCTAATTCTAGTCTAACTCCCAATCAACTAGACCGCCAAAATAGTCCGCAACCGATCGACGCCGTGCACGAGAGTGAATCCGACGACCAAGACCGTCGGTTAACCTCCTCGAAGTCGCCCTCCGATCTCCTCTCCGACGTTTATCGAGGTCTCAGGAAAGCGATCCCTACCCGGGAAGAGTCTCGTAGGTTTGCAAGAGCACCATCGAGACTGGCCTTCAAGACGTCCACCACCAGCTCCGCAGCCTCAGAGGTCAATTCTGCACCCCTTCTACCGAGGCCGGTACCCCCGCAACATGCTAGAAATCTGAGTTTGCAGAACAGTCTCGAGAAACCACTTCCAGCGCCACCGCCCCCTTCATTATCTCCCTCGAGTCCTGTAACTCCTTCGGCATCGTCCAGCCGGTTGCAAGACAGCCTGACTGCTCTACTCGATAACGACACCGCCAACGAGGCAAACGTGGACAATCAGACGAGCACTATGGATTCGAACACGTTGATGGCTTCGAACCAGATGTACAGCGGCGGAAATGACATGAGCAGCAGCCAGAGTAGCATAGCTAGCTCCTCGAGGGCTGACGGTGGGGACGTGCAGAAGGATAACCTAACACCCCGGAGCAATGGTCCGCTCTCGGCTGGTCCCTCTCCTCCGGTTGCGTCAACCAGCAGGACCCCAGCTCTCGGTACAGCTGTTGGCACTCCTGCGACTTCAGGCTCTTCTGCTCACCTGTCCGGGCTGATGTGCAATGTTCATCGTACTACTGGTCAAGAGCCTCACCCTCTGGTGGGCGCCACGACCACGGTCTTAGGGGATAAGTTATATGTCTTCGGTGGGCGGATATTATCTCGAAGTAGGCCGGCTCCCCTCACTTCGGATCTTTACGAGCTGGACCTCATCAGGAGACATTGGAGCAAGCTTGAAACCACGGGAGATATTCCTCCGCCCCGCTACTTTCACTCTATGTGTGCTCTGGGGGATACCAAGATGGTCTGCTACGGAGGCATGTCGCCAACTGCTACCCAGCCTACTTCCGCTTCCCCGGACCAGCAACCCGAAGTGACAGTAATGTCTGATATATATATTTACGATGTTCCAAGCAAGAGGTGGACTTATGTCCCTTCTCAAGATGCTCCGCAGGGCCGATATGCCCATTGTGCCTGTATCCTGTCATCTTCTGCGACGTTTTCGTCTCACAAGGCGCCCTTGTCTGCCCTCCAGCACAATCCGTCTACCGGAAATCCGAACGAAGGCCGGATCGGCATTAGCATAGACGGTGCCGGCGGTGCTGAGATGGTGGTGGTTGGTGGCCAAGATGGAGCCAATCATTATATCGAGCAGATTAGTGTTTTTAACCTCCGCAGTTTGAAATGGACCTCGACGCAATCGCTTGGGAAATCCTGCGGTGCATATCGGAGTGTAGTCGCTCCTCTGCCGCCAAGCGTGACTGCAAAAATCGGCAAGGCGAATATCGGTAGCTCTCGTCAAGAGAGCGCAATCAGCCAAGAGGCTAAAGAACCGGGCTCGTCGATGCTCATCTACTCGAATTACAACTTTCTCGATGTAAAGCTGGAGCTCCAAATTCGGGGCTCGGATGGCTCGCTTGCTGAAAAGCCGATGGCAGGGACTTATTCTCCTCCCGGACTGCGGTTCCCGAACGGCGGTGTTATCGACACCTATTTTGTTGTTAGTGGCACGTATCTCACCAGTTCGAAGCAGGAATATGCTCTATGGGCTTTAGATCTTCGGAATCTGACCTGGGTGCGCATCGACACCGGCGGCAGCGTCTTCAGCCAAGGTAGCTGGAACAGAGGTGTCTTGTGGAATAGGCGGAATATATTCGTAATTCTCGGCAATCGTAAGCGGAGCTTGGTAGATGATTATAATCATCGTCGAATCAACTTCTCCAACGTCTGTATGGTTGAGCTAGAAGCCTTTGGTTTCTATGATAATCCGCGTAGGACGTCGCCACTGTCAGGCTTTATATCTTCCAGTAGTCCCTTTACGGCTCCCGGTTTGAGCATAGCCAGGAAGGCTGGGTGGACTGGTGGGGGCAGATCGCATATGCGCGCCGCCGAAGAACTAGGGGAGAAAGCCTTAGCGTTGCGGGAGCTAGCAGATATGGATATACTATGCTTCCACGGAGAGCGCATACCTATCAACTCCCGAATAGTCGCACGGCGGTGGGGACCGTACTTTGTGCAGCTGCTCCGTGAAGGTGCGGCCACACAGGATGGTAGCGACTCGGCAACCTTGAGAACGGGCATGTCCGGACAGGCAGGCGCTCGTATGTCTACTATAACGATCACGCAATCGAACAGGAGCGCCGGTGACAGCGGTTTATCCATGGCTACCACATTGAATAACGCGTCGTCCGCTGGATCTCTTAAGCCACCCAGCACGGCGGGTACCTCTACATCCGGTGGTAGTGGACCAGCGGATATCACCGCGATAAATTCAGCGCCAACGCCCGCGTCGCTGCCGCCCAATTCTCGACCTAGGTGTTTATATCTCCCCCATACATGCCCAACGGTCCAGGCTCTCCTCCATTTCCTCTACACGTCAGCACTACCTCCTCCGTCGTCTCCCCTCTGTACACCGCAAATCCTCTGCTCACTATTGCAGATTGCACGACCATACAAGATAGATGGTCTGTTAGAGGCCGTAGTAGAACGTCTTCACGCACGCCTTGATTCGCGCAACGCGGCAGCCGTGTTCAACGCCACAGCCATGGCAGCGGGTGGAGGTCGCGGGATTGATGGCAGCATGAACCCCAACTTTTATATGGCTGAATCATCCAGGGCTGGCGGCTCTATCGCTCCTTTCCACGGCCGATCAATGTCAGTATCTCAGTCTAGTACCGACGAAGCAAGTGGCGCTTTAGAAGGTCTCCGGATCAATACCAGCGTATCGGGGGCGAGACCAGAACCGGAAGAACTCAGCGCTACGACGAGTGTATCAGGTAGCGAGTGGAGTAGTGAGCTCGGCGGCAGCGAGCGTGGCGCAGTTAGGGAGGTATGGAACGGAGAGCTGAGTAGCGTCATCGGCCTGCAGAAGCGAGGATTAAGAGGTTTAATGGAAGGACGGCGGATGAGGGCGACCGTTGATCGCGAGCGCGATGGAGGGCGGTCAGAGAGACTCGGCTCGAGGGTCGGATTGGGGATTGCGGGATCTTAGAGGCATCAGCTGGACGATAATAGATCACTGGATGGGAACACCATTTGTTCATACATAAGCAATATTCGGGGGCGAGACATAGTACCATTGGCTGGATAGGCGTTGGTTCTGGTAAGGCGCACGGATGATGCATGTGTAGAGAGTCCTCGATTACCTGGCGAGTGATATAGTTGAGATATAGTTGAGATACCAACTGATGCTTTCGCTATCTACCTATATATATGGACAATATATTGGATCAATTCAATAGAGAGTCAGCTTAAACCACTAGGTAGTCTGCCAGTTTCAATACTTGTATAATCAACGTACTTGACATCATGGAGATATTAATATGTGTTAGGTACATAAGGTACTTATGTAACCATGTACCTGCAGGTTTCATCCTCTACCCATGCCTCTATACCATATGTAGTTAGCCTCTTAATGAGCCTGATGGGCCAAAGTTCAAGATGACACCACGTCCTAGCTTATCAACACCAAGCATGTGAAGTATGATGTATTCAACCCTCCCCACCACCCTTTCTCCATCCTTATCCCCAATCCCCCATATTATAGACGAGGCTCTATCCAAAGAGCGAGACGAACATGTTACCGACTTATCTCGTACATAGTTAAGCGGAATGTCGTTCTCAAGGGCTGTATTTTAATTTTGCTGACTCTTTTTATCCACGACCCGTCGAGCCTAACATGATGAATTTTCTTGCATCCGAGTTAATTGAAGAATGCTTCCACGCCCCAGCTTGAGCTTCACGCTCCCTAGCTTGCACGACAACACCAAGCTCGACTGCCGAATTTATCATCCCGCATGCTTGAATGGACCTCTCGGGCCTTCCGATACGTCATGGCGCCAACACGCCGCTGTCGTTGCGCATCCCTACGCGCCGTTGGGAGGATCTTACGAAGACCCGGTTGTGCATCTTGTCGCCAACACACTGCTTAATCTTGGCTTCGTAGTTGCGACCTTCAATTTCAGGTTCGTGCCGTATCTTGTTAAGAAGAAGAGGAAGAGGAGGAGGAGGAGAGACAAAAGAGGAGGGAGGGGAGGGGAGAGGGAGAAGGCATTTACGCGCAAGATTAGAATCATATTACTAACATTTCAACTAAAAATTATAGAGGCGCGTCATCTTCTTGCGGTCGCACTTCGTGGACATCGAAACCTGAACGCGCCGATTACATGTCCGTTACCGGTTTCCTCGTTCACTACGTGCATTACTTGCGCCCTCCTCGGCATAACCCTAACCCAACCCTACTGCTCGCCGGATACTCGTACGGTGCCTTGGTGACGATACAGCTTCCCCCTCTCGACTCCTTCCTGTCCGACTTCGCCTCGCCGGCCACTCATACCGCACTAGCAGACATCAGGCTGCGAGCACAACACCTCGCGGAACAACAAAATATCATGATCACTACTCCCTCTTCGCCGAGGAAGTCTTTAGGCTTACGTGTCGGTGGTGACGAGGACACGACACCGCCAAAGACTCGTGAAAGACCAAGGTTTTCTTCTCCTGATCGGGAAGAGAGGATCCGAAAAGGCGTCAAGGAAATATTATCACGGCATAGGCTAATCCATCGAAAACATGATCATAGTTCTGTTGGGCGGTCTGGAAGAGCGAATCACGACGAGACATTCCTAGAGAGCGTGGACAACCTAATTCGATTTCGCTGTGCTTTCCTATTAATTTCACCTCCGTTAGGTATCATTACCAATCTAGCGACTATGTCCTTCTCAAGTCCGTTTGCGAGCTGGTCGAAGAGGAAGAGAGGGGTGTCTCCGTCGTCGGCTGGCAACCACGGGGGAAACCTGGAAGGTGAAGAGGCCGAAGCTGAGATGAAACTCGTAAGGAATCCAACTCTAGTCGTGTTCGGAGATCAAGACGGTTTCCTGGCCGTAAAGAAAATGCGCGACTGGATCGCACAGCTAGGTAGTGCCGAAGGCTCGCAGTTCTGCCACGTAGAAGTTTCAGGGGCCGGACATTTCTGGGTAGAAGAAGGCGTTGCACATGAGCTTCGAGATTCTGTCTTCTCTTTTGCAACTAGACTGATAGAAATTTCATAGTGAGAGATTCAAGACACTGAAGCTAGCCACCATCCCCACCATCCAACCTTCCAGTTTTTGACATATTAGTTGTGCCTGATGAAAGTTATTATGTATCTCTGGCGACGCTATCCTATTCATGTTTTTACTCTACCTAGTTTGTAGTGTAGGATGTCGACATGAGGTATGCTAGGTACCTATGTATGTATAGCGTGCAGTGCCGTGGCTACAGTTTTACGATAGGCCCACGGTAAATGTCTGTATAGTCTAATAATTAGAATATATGTGGCTAGTGGGTATGTACATAGGTAGTATGTAGTTACCTCCAATGTTGATGCGCATGCATATCTGTGTACCTACCCCTTCCCCATATCTGCTACCCCTCATGTAACCCCACACCGAGATGGAATCCCTGTCTTCTGACCCACCTGATCTCATTGCTTATTGCTCACATGGCTGGTTAGTACATAGGGATCCTGGCATTGTTTCCGCATTTCTGACGTTTATCTTCGTTTTAAACCTTTTTTTGTCTTCACTTCCTATATGAAAATTAGAAAGGGCTGTCGCGCCTTCTAGACACCTATCTGCGTACCAAGGTGGACATCTACATGTATTCCATACTTTACACCTAATATTTTACACTTTGCTATTATCTTTACTTCCCTACGTTCACCTTCCTGCATTTTCTAGATATCTAATATCTAATATCCATCTAGTTGTAGATAGTAAATTCGTTGGTCGTCATTTACAATATCCCCCCTTATGCACTACACCTTATCCAAACTTCGATTCTCGCTTCAGGAGTCGATCAAGAGCCGACCACTACCACGAACACATGCACGCATACGTAGATTGAGCTAGGATGCGAAGTCCGCCTAGAAGCACGTTGAAGCGACAGCACCTCCTTCTCCTCTCGAGCTTACACCATGTCGCATACCGTAGACATCCTTCCATCTATCCCCTCGCTCCGACCCTCCACCCCTAAGAATCTGCATAAAGGCAAACGGCAATCGGATTGTCCATCCTCCAACGCAGATCCTGTCTGTAAGGTCTTAGACGGTCTGCTCTACCTTCGCGACGGTCTCACGTCCGTAGAGAGAACACGCAGAAGACAGCTCGAGGAGCGCAAACAAATCCTGTCCGCACGATTGCAGAGTGCCGAATCCTATAAAGAATGGGACGCAGTAGCACACGAGCTAGACATCCTAGAGGGTAACGAAGAGTGGAAGTTGGATAGATCGTCCGGCGACTATAATCCCGATCTCCTAGAAAAGCGCTTAAAGGAATTGGACGATGCCCGCGCTTATTGCGATATACGAGCTATGATGCATCTAATCAGAACAGCACTTTCGCGCGATCTAGCCGGCATGGGCAATATCGACCTCTATCGCCATTCTTACTGCGGTACCAAGAAGTTGATCGAGCGGTACGTGGATTCTACCTTGCAAACCATTGCGGCCCTGGTTGAACAGAGCGCGCATCGCCTCCCGGATGATTTGGGTCCCAAGGACTTGTTAGACGCCGTGCTTTACGCTCGCCAGAGCTTCGGCCGGAGCGCCCTCCTACTCAGCGGCGGAGGCACGTTTGGCATGACTCACATCGGGGTCTTGAAAGCTATGTTTGAAGCAAGGCTGTTGCCACGTATAATCTCGGGAGCCTCTGCTGGTTCTATCGTCTGCTCTGTCGTCTGCTCGAGGACTGACGACGAGATCCCTCAATTATTAAAAGAATTTCCACACGGTGATTTAGCCGTGTTCGAGGAGGAAGGTAACGAGGACGGTCTCTCAGGTCACCTACGAAGACTGCTCACGGAGGGTAACTGGTCCGATATCAAGCACTTGACACGTGTGATGCGCGACTTGCTCGGCGATATCACATTTCAAGAAGCATATTATCGTACTCGGAGGATATGCAACATTTGTGTCTCCTCGGCTTCCATATACGAGCTACCCCGGCTGCTCAACTACGTCACGGCACCTAACGTTATGATATGGTCTGCTGTCGCGGCGTCGTGCTCTGTTCCGCTCGTTTTCAGTGCCGCACCCCTGCTAGTCAAGAACCCCTTGACAGGTGAGCACAGCACGTGGAATCCTACTCCGCAGATGTGGATCGACGGATCTGTCGACAACGACCTCCCAATGACGAGACTGGCTGAAATGTTCAACGTCAATCACTTCATCGTCTCGCAGGTTAATCCCCACGTCGTTCCCTTCCTTGCCAAAGACGACGTAACGTGCCCGCCCTCCGGCGCACGCCACGAAACAATCTACAAGGAAGAGTCGGATTGGCTACACACAATCACCACCCTGGCCAAGAGCGAAGCATTACATCGGATGCAGTTCATGACCGAGATTGGCGTTTTTCCAACTTTAGTCAGCAAGCTACGGTCGATCCTGAGCCAGAAGTATTCTGGCGACATCAATATCCTTCCGGCCATGGGCTTTTGGGATTTGCCGAAGGTGCTAAAGAATCCGACAACCGAGTTCATGGTGCGTTCATGCTTATTAGGCGAGCGAGCAACCTGGCCTAAATTATCTCGTATGCGTGACCGTTGTGCTGTCGAACTCGCTCTCGACCGCGCTGTTCATGCATTGCGAGCCCGTGTCGTATTTAGCAAGAGTCAAGTCGACCTACGAAGGATGGCAACCGGTTCTTTAGCGAGAACGAATGGAGAAAGCCATGAAGCATTAGCACCCAATTTAACCCAGGCGTGGCATCTTTCGTCTAAGGACAAATTGAAATATCGCCATCGACGGTCTAGTGGAAGCAATCTTCTAAACTCGCTTCATCATAGCCTTGCCAATGAAAATCCGTGTAAGGTGGCAGACGAAGATACGGATGAGGAGGAACGTCTCGAGATGACCACGCGCCACACTCGCGCAAAACCGAAGATCAAGATCAAGAGATTCCCAAAAGGCCACATATTACAGACAGGACCCAGGACCAGTCCCATCTTGTCTTCCACCACGGAGCCTGACTCTTTTGATTTCTCTCAGCCCGCAACACCTTCTGGTGTCAAGAATGCAAAAGAGCTTCTCCCCAAAAGATCCACACTTTGGACGACATTTACCATACCTGTCGATGATAGTGCTGGAGGTCACACTACCGAGACGGCTTCGATGACTTCCCCGCAGCAAGCTCCTCACCAAGATGCGGAGATCGAAACCAGCGACATACACACTTCAGACGCCGACGAAGAAAGCCATACAGATGAGGAGACAACGCCAACGGTCTTCAAGCTATCAAACTCGCATAGGAAATTCACTGGTGACGAGATCAAAAGAAATTCGTCGACTAGCAGCAACAGCAAGCATCATTAAATGATACCGCCTCGAGCAAACCCGGATCTATAGAATAAATATGGGTTTTTAATAATAACTTAAATACAAATTTGAAACTTCAGTCTACCCTTCAGAATCAGTGGCTTGAGTTGATGACAAGCAGAGTAGTATATACGGAATAATGACAGGTAGGAATCATAGTCCAAGACAAGTGGGAGCATTGCGAGACGTAGATTTTGCCATGTAATAGTGATCGGGTGTGTGGATTTACTTCTTATTAGTGCACTAACAGCTCATAATATGGATAACTAAGGTTAATTCTACTGCGAGTCCCTATCTCCCTTGTTCAGAATTCGTCGTCCGCTCCTAAGGGTCGACCAGACACGCCATACATATCTTCCGACCCAGTAAATCCCATCCACGGATTAAAGATGAGTCCTGCGTCTTCCTGCCTGGCGTCCAAGGACAAACCAGCCGGTGGAACTTGGCTGTTCCCCGGTCCTGCCGTTCCCCACGGATGATTTCTAGGGACGGCAGATACGTGAGCAGTCTGCATGCCGCCAGAAGGTGGCGGTATCTCGGTTGCTTGAGTAGGACCGGCAATCTCATTGCTATCGTCGACGAAGTCTGACTGTAGCAGCAGGCTCTGAACTGAGAGACGCTGGCGAGAGGTCGCGTACTGTGAAACCTTTGTGGAGGATCGAGCTGATGGCGGGTCCGGCTCCGAGAATGCTTCCTGGGTCTGTAAGGCGAGACGGACTGAGTAGCTTGTTATCAGCCGTTCCAGGTCCTTTCGCTGCGAAGGCTTAGCATTCCCCCAAGATAGCTTCACCAGGCCGGGAGATTTGACAACTTACTAATGGCTGCGTCGAGGCAGAGTATGGAAAAAATCTCGTGATCAAATTATGCGACAGTTTGGCCTTGCCTACAGCCATATCCAAGTTAGAAGCCGCCCCTAGGATACGAGAACCAAACATGACTAATCGAGCACTCTCGAAGGCGCAAACAGCAGCATCACGTTCTAGAAGACATTCACCATCTCCATGATTTAAGAAGTCGGAAACTATTCGAATGATGCTCTCAGCATGTTCGAGACACTTCAGTTGCATTTTCGTTCGGTCTCGCGGGTGGAGAGCGAGAAGCACCGGCGAGGGAGCTGCCTCACTATAACCGTCTAGCCCGAGGCGATACATGTCGCAATGACACTGATGCCACGACATGTGCAACATTATGAGCTGCGCTTGCCACTTAGACGATGTTAGGTTGGGCACCGAATATTGGTCGTTTGGTCTGAGGGCCGCCTTGAGCCATCCCAGCTCCTCTTCGAACCGCCGGATGCTTTCCCCAATCGTTGAAGACAACTCATCGCCCAGCCCAACCTTGCGATTAAATCTATGCGACGTTTTCGTAAGCTTCGGTGCGAAAAGTAAGGGGGTTGAGGACAGAGATAAGAGGAGGAGAAGGAACAGCATACCTCATAACAGCCCGGCGAACGGATGTCAGCCGCAAGGACATGCCTCGTAAGCCGACGACGGTGGTATCACCGGATGATCTGGGGTCGTGTCGCAGCACGCCGGTATGTACGTGCCGGCCTGCTTCGAAGTGATCCTCGTCACAAGGCAGTTGGAGGTGTATGGTCTCCTCCGGGCATAGTTCGAATTCCCTGAGTCCCACGCAGAAGAAGTCATCGAGCAAGTAGAGAGCCCAGAACAGTCTTCGGCGCGCTTCTTGCGCAACATCAGAGAGCTCCGGACGTTCATAATTTAAACGAAGGGCTAAGGCCGTTCGTGCAGCTAACGCAGCTAGCATAAATGCTGTTGGAAATTCGCCGCTCTCGATCCTGTAACGGATGACGAGAAGAAGGGCTTGTAAATTGAAGATGGATGGTCGCCCCATCTGTTGTAGTATCGACTGCTCGGCCTGTTGAGCCCATAGATCGTGACATAGCGAGGTGCGGTGGAGCTGCAGCGCCGTGACGGCGCAGATAGCCAGCTTCAGAGTCTCGTTTATTGTCTGGCTTCTACACCTCTGGAGGACTGTTGGTTTGTGAAGAAAGGCAAACGACGGGAGGGGATAAAGATGTCGAAAGTAGGCCTCCATCAGATCCAACGCCGCATTATGATCGAGCGCAGGCCCTTCTGTTGGACCCACCATCTCGACTCCTTGGGCAGGGGAAGCATCTCCGGCGCGTTGCTGGGTAGCTTGGTCGTCGGCCCCGGATATTTCAGCGAGGCTATTTCCACTGGCGATAGAGCCGTGCTTCTTGGTCCTAGGATAGACGCATGCCCGGTTCCTTCTGACACAACTGGAACAACTCGGCAACTCGCCAAGACAGCGGGTCTTTTTAGAATGGCACGGGATGCAAGCCTGCATGCGGCGACGCCTCTCGGGTAGTTTCACGACATATTGGCCTGGCGATTTGCCAGGTGACTGCTGAAAGGAGCACTCAAACCCCAGCCGATCACAGTTCTGGCAGATATTTGGCCGGCCATCGCAACGCACCTAGAGACGACGAGTATATGCGTGAGTTACATGTCTACTACTAGAGGTTTGGATGGCTTTACGTCGTCTTCTCAGCATTGAGGAAGCCTTCACTTACTTTTCTTATCCTACATTGAGAGCAGATTGCTCGCTTTTTCAACGGATGCGGTGTAGATATAGGTGAAGATACTGCCCCAGGCTTGGCCTGCGAGCTCTGCGGCTCATGGAGGTCTCTAGAAACCTGCAGAGGTCGCAGAGGACGCAGAGCCTCGGTCATTGGTGGCAATAATCATACCCCCCACTCATGGGTCACAACCAACACGCCGTCAGCTAGGACGGGATGAATTCCTAACAGTGATCAAGTCTTCTGGTGTTCGAATATCGTCTGAGGACTAGGGGATGGGAAAGGTTGAACATAAGCGCCCAATCATAAAATGAACAGACCGACAAGACCGAGAGCCGTAAGCAAGACGCAATGCATTCCACTCAAGTGTAACCACACGATGGCACTAGTCAGGGCTGGTCAGGGCTGGTCAGAGCTGGCCGGGAGAGAACTCTGCCTAATTAAATAGATCATGAACGTCGGTCGGGGGGTCCTTGTGGGGGAATAGAGGGCCATGTCTGTGGGGTATCCAATGAAAAGGAGTTAATGATCTGCTAATTGTCCGCCATTTACAACATTTCTACCGGATTTCACTCGACCCAATCCTTCGGGACGCTTATTGAACAGTGAACACCCTGGACTCTTGGAGCTCTCTCCTCTTTCGTCGTATCCTCCGTCGGCCCTTGATCAACCACACGAGCTGACACTTGTGAATTAGTATTTTGCAGGATCGTGCCACCAACATCCTGCCTCATGCCAAAATAATCTACCTGCTTAGGGCACGCAATTGGCCTAGGGCGCAGGGGTTTGGAAGCTCGCAATTCCTAGCGCAGATGACACAATACTGAAGTTCAATGAATCCCTACGACAGCAACGTCTGTACATACACTGCCTTCGCTTACACACATCCGTATTTCGTACCTACCTAGGCACAGACCCCTTGCTATGTAGGTACTCTCGCTAACCAGCGCCGGCCACGATCGCTTGGTGCTTGTCGACTCTAAGAAACCCACTCGTTCAAAATGGTGCGTATAGCGCCAATATAGATAGGTAGTATATATCTCAGTCATCCTACAGACGACAGTAACCCGGTTGTGCCGCCGGTTCTCTCATCATCGTTCAGCTTATATCAACGCTTTGACAAGGCTCGTCTACAACGAGCTCGTGAAAGATTGAGACACATCGCTTTCGAAAGCATCGGCATACATAAGTTTCCTTAGGCTTAGAAAAGATACCGTAGTCTTTCGCGCACCGATATAAATTCAAGCCATGGGTGAAAAACTAGGCTTGTTCAGAGCGTGGTATTTAGTTGCCCTTTGCTGTATTGGCAGCTTCTTATTCGCGTAAGTTGTCTCTTAGTTGCCCAGTCCTATGTAATTTTAACAAGATTACTCCACGCACACTTACATACGGCCGTCCATCGTGCCGTGATCCTCTCACGGCTCTGTTTTACTCGTCCTCGAATTTCAATCGATGTTTCTCACTCGGAGTCCGTAGTTACGATACTGGCGTGGTCGGTGGCGTCCTTACACTGCCATCATTCCAGAATGACTTTCGCATTACCACGGCAAATCAAGCTAGTGTAAGCTCTAATGCGACGAGTCTTCTACAGGCCGGGGGTATGTTAAGATCTAGTCATGAACAAAGCTTAAGTGTTAATAATTGGGTGACCAAGCCTTCTTCTCATGCTTCTTCGTCTGGCCTTTCACTGCCCGATTCGGACGTCGTTGGTCTATCGCAGTAGCTTCGCTCATCTTCAACATTGGAGCCATCATCCAGGTCATCAATACACACTCGCTGGCGGCTTTCTACGTCGCTCGCGTTATATCCGGGGTGGGAGTAGGAATGGCCACAGTCATCATTCCAAGTGAGTAATTAGCATGGAGCCGACGGTCGCCTCATAGTCTGCTACGAGGCTTATGCTCTTCTCGAAAGGCTCCAGTCCCTAGAAAGCAATCCAAACTTTCGGTGAACCGCCAGCGCACCTTGGGGGTGCGAGTACTGACTTCACTCTACAGTGTATAGCGCGGAGATGGCGCCAAAGCAGATTAGGGGTCAGCTGGGAAGCATGTTTCAGTTCTTCTTTACGCTGGGAGTTATGACCTCTTACTGGGTCGACTATGGTGTATCACAACATCTAGGCTCAAAGACGCAGCAGTGGCAGATTCCTATTGGTCTCCAGGTCAGTAATCTATCTACCGCCACATTACATCGGCCGGATTAATGTTCCTCTCACCTCCTCCCGCTCCTAAAGAGTCACGTAAACGCACCACCGACTAATCCGGAAGGTGTTTCTAGCTCGTCCCTGGCGGCATACTGGGATTGGGAATGTTACTTACGAAAGAAAGCACCCGGTGGCTTGCAAGATCAGGCAGGAGGGAAGAGGCAATGCAGTCGCTCGTCTGGGTCCGCGGCGGAGATAGTGACAAAGTAAAAGAAGAGTATGGTGTTCTGCGCCGTCGATGATACCTCGCTTGTTAGCTTACGAGTTGACAACCATGGATAGGTTTGCAGAAATCGTAGCGGGCATCGAGGAAGAAGAACGCGTTACCGAGGGCCTTACATTGAAAGAATACCTCCTCCCGGCGAATCGCTTCCGCTTCGTCATCGTCATCACCCTGCAGATAGGTATGACCAAACTCACCTAGTTCATTAATTTGAAAGACGCTAATACGAGACAAGGCGTACAACTGACTGGCAACACCAGCTTGGCGTACTGTATGTTTGCTCTCGAAATTTCTAACATTTTTCGGTAGAACTGATTTCCGCAGATGCTCCCCAGATATTCAAAGCGGTTGGTGCTGGCGACCAGAGCCTCCTGATCAGCGGGTTTTTCGGTGTTGTCAAAGTCGTCTCGTGTCTATTCTTCCTGCTATTCCTCGTCGAAAAGATCGGTCGCCGTGGTTCACTTATCGGAGGAGCGTTCCTTATGGGTGCTTACATGCTCATCATAGCTTGTTTAACAGCCACTCATCCTCCGGTTGCCTCTCAAACCCTAACTAGTACCGGCGCTGCGGCAGTAGCCATGGTCTACCTCGAAGCAAGTCAGTGCCCATCGTTAAATGTCCAGTAACAAGATTTGCCTGATTTTAACATTTCATGATGGAACAGTGAGCTATAACATATCATGGGGACCAGTACCTTGGGTAAGCAACGTCCTGTTTTGTGTTGGTTTTTTTTTTTTTTTTTTTTTTTTTCAGAGGTATTTAACGCTCCATTTCAGCTGTACATGAGTGAAATATTTCCCTCCAGGATACGCGAAGCGGGCGTCGCAGGTGATACCCCCTTTTCCCCATAAGGTACTCATCGTTGACATTTTTTAGTCGGGACGGCCACTCAATGGCTATTCAATTTTGTATTCTCCCAGGTTACTCCGCATGCGATAAACAATATTGGCTGGAGAACCTTTTTGATGTTCTGCATATTTAACTGGGCTCTGGTTGTATATGCGTGGCTTGTTATTAAGGAGGTAAGACACTCTAGACGAATCAGTTCATAATAGTTAACATACTAACAATATGTGAAGACCAAGGGAAAATCTCTAGAAGAAATGGAAGCTGGTAAATGTACACCTTAGCATTGTCATGTCAAGCTTGCTAATCCTGATTACAGTTTTCGGCTCAAGTGATACCTCTATCGACGCGGAGAAAACCCACGAGCATGTACGAGACGGCACGGTTTAGGTAATGAGCGATAGCAGTACCTTGCTTGGGGAAACATGTTGGTACAAGAGGATTTAGCGTGAGGTACTAGAGTAAATGCGATTATCTAGATATAGCCCTACACGCCGCACACTCCTAGGAGAGGGTGAGAAGGGGTCAATTCCCCTTGTTCCGACGTCGAATACCAACCAACCTCCAGGTGATAGGTGCCCATTCATCACACCTCAATTATGCTTACAAGACGAGGTTATGAGACGACATCCCGACCATTTTCAACTATGCTGCACACGGGTCGGCATCATGTGTACGAATTGTTCATCAATCGATGTTCATCTTCGCCAACGAGGTGATACCGAACTATGGTTCATGTTTTTATCGGTTACCGCTTACTACTTCACCCACTACCTAAACAGCCACCAAGAGCCTTAGATGATACTTGCTATAATATCACACGCTAGTTTCATAAGTTCCGTAGGGCGGGTTCCCAATTAATTGATGTCCAACTCACTTGAAGGAACACAAGGTATGCGGGCATGCGATTAGCGTGTCTGGTTAATGGTATTTAACGTTGTCGTAAAGACATTTGCTATGATAACGGGCTCTCTAAGTCAAATATATGCCTCAGTATCATAAAGCCCCCAAATGTTCCTAGCATCTTCACTATCATTGAACGGTAGCAACATCACACCAAGCTTCAACTTGTCGACTACGTAGGCTCTCAATAAAAAAGACTTGCGGCTGTTTGAACCTATCTTCACACAGGTTGATCTATTCACACGTCAAATATCTCAGGCCTGTCAAGACACTAAGCCGACCAACATGTTTGCTCAGCTAAGACGCTTCACATTACACATTATTAGCCCCTATTAACCTTCGGCTTCCCTTAGATACCCAAACGAACACGTAATATCGCTTCGTCTCCGACGGGATAGTTACTAGGAAATATTTCCAGGACATGGGACTGCAATGCCTTCTCTTAACTCAACTTAGAATGACCAAGCTGTTCCACCTTCTTCGGAACATTTGGGGACGAAGAGAACCATATAGATGAGTAATGAAGAGCATGTAACATCAAAAGTTCTCTTTTGTCCCTTCCGGCTTTTCTAAGGAGCGAAAACTTCCTAATAGAGCCAAAAGAGTATTTACTCCCAATACATACTTAGAATTCCTAATTAGAACTCCTTCCTAAAAGAGGTTCCCGCGTAGCCGAAGACCAAGCTTGCTAGACAAGACCTGTATTCTCTAGTCGCAAATGGACTCAATACTGTTGGGTCGGAAGATGCCATGTAAAGTGCTTTTCGTAGTAGGTTGGTAGTTACCTCTGCTTTTCTTCATTGTGAAGTTCAACAATTTTAGAATAAAAACAAAACAAATATGTTCAATCCCATAGGTGGCGATACTTCTACTACTACCATAGAAGACCCGTTCTTATATTTGCCGCGTACTCTAGAATACCATATGAAGCTAGATCACGAGATTCGAACAGTATTCAGCATAAGTTCAAGATCCGAAATGGTCCCAAACTGGCTACCTGTCGGTCAATCATCTTCGGGTCTGTAATTGTTCAACAAAGCTTTGCGCATCTCTCTCTACCAGCGTCTGGTATACCATGGCAAGAGCAATCTTAGGTGGATGAAGAGCCGTTCATTATACATGGCCATGTCATTCATATCTCGTGCGACGCTAGTTGGAATTGGTATTTATTCTATTCTACATAACGAGAGGTTTTTTGAACCTCGTTGTTTTTATGGCGGAGTGCTGGTTGTCAACGTATTACGAAGAACAGACGAAAATCATGCATGACGCGTTCATTCTATTTCGAGCAGGGCCACGTATCTGCGTAGGAAATCCACGACATCTTAGAGACAAGCCTCATCTTAGCGAACATATTCTGACATTTTGATTTCGAAAAAGCCGCGAGTGGACTCGGGGATCTTGGCGCCAGGGGGCAGCGGTGGTATATTTAGAAGAGACCCGGCGAGCGAGTTTCAGCTTTTATGGGATGACCTCTTCGATTCATGACAGACGTAATCTATTGTTCAATTCAAGGATGGATAATTCGCAATAGTTTATGTCTCATTCAGTGGTAGACATACATACTTCGCTTGGGACCATTTACGGTTAAGCAGTATATACTCTGTTGGTCGAGGCAGCCAGTTGCCCAGTCAGGCAGGTAGATTGATCAAAGATGATCTAGGCCCCATACAAACGCGTCAACTGTATCAAGGATGATTAATGTCCGTCGGGGGATATCTAACAACTACTTATTCATATTCGCCGACAGTAGTGCACTCCCTCGTACGAGAAGAAAAACCCCTTTCTTTAGGCATAAGACCTCATAAGTACTTCTTCCACGAAAGCTTTTCTAGTATAACGACACCAGCAGGAGTGTTTCTCCGTTCTATACCTAGCTAGGTATACAACGCATACAAGGAATTAATATGTGGTTTTAAACTGATTATCTCGGAATTTCTATTTCCATAGAGGCGGTCTTATATGGATCGAATAGCAGAGTATGCAGGTAGGTAGGTAGGTCGGTGACTTACCTAGGTAGACGGAAGACTTTGGCACGTGAATATGTCGGCTTTTGGATATGATCAAACCCCTTGTTATCGTAAATTATCCATCGTTATCATTCTTCGTGCTCTAGACTATTTCTCAAGACTAGCGTCAATTAGGAGGGTAATCAGGTTTTTAATTTTTTCTTCTTCTTTTATTTTTATTTTTATTTGTAATTTTCTTCCCCAGAACGAAAGGGGTCAATATCCGGGGCGCTTGACCAAGTTATTTTGTATCTCGGACCATCTAAGAAAGGGGCTGAAACTCTTCACTAGCGGTTTGTATGTTGAGCATGACGTTAGTTAAATCGCAGGAAGATAAAAACACGGCTTGAGTGAAGTTATTAAAAACCCAAGTACGTACACAATAGACATCGTTTAGTTTAACTTCTTACCCAGCTTATAGGTGCTCGTGCATTTTAACGGCATAAGATGAGCCTCTTAACATAAAAAGATTTGAGCTAAGATCGGAATCAGATAATACACCAATAGTGCCGATTTGTGCCAGTTAAGATACATACCACCCCCCTGCCCCTTAGGTACAGTTGGGGAGGTGGCGTGACCCTGGCCCGTCGAGGCCAAGGAATATGACACCGGGATATGCCGTACCGTACGTCGCCCCCCTGCCTAAGCCATATACGCCATGGCACCTAGCACGTAAAGAGGTATGCATGCCGAGACGCAAACGTGGGGAACATTGTGGCAAAGAGATAACACTGGCTGATCAGGATCCCGGTAAATAAACAAGGCTGCGCGGGGTGCTGCGTACACACATACACACATGCACACATACACACATACCGGTAGTGTCCCTTTATTTATAAGCCCTGCTATGTGTTGGTGGAGTCGGTCCGAATATTAGGTCTGCCTGCATTCCGATCGAGTCGGGCTGGACGGATTATCTTTCCCAACTTCAACCAGGTCGACAACGATTCCAGTAGTTCTAGAAGGAGATCAAGATCCAGCCAGGCTAACATCAACTCCATTAACTAATATGCCTAGCGGAAGGAATGCAAATCACTTGCCTGTCGGGAAATAAATAATCTTCACTTGGCTCGGTCTAGGCGCTGTAAATCATGGCTTGACTGCTTGGCGGCTGAGCGGGTAAAGCTTGTTTCGACGTCGATATCAAGGTCCAACTAACCTCAGGGGCTTCTCGGCATCAGTGGCACTAGTAGTCTCGATATCTTCAGCGTCCTCTTTCGTTCTAATTCTGTTGTATTCTGCATTCGAGCCTCGCCAGATCCGGTTGGCCCAGATGTCTCTCTACCCCTTATCTCTCTCCCTCTTGTGCCATACTTCTCATACGATTAGACGATTGGACTAGGGAACCCTTGCTACCCTCCACATGCTCTTCTTTCCCTTATCACGAGTTATTTGACCACTTATTCCCTAATAACCTGTCCGCAGGTCATACTTCCCGTCACTACACCCACTCGCTGACTTACATGTCGATTTCATCTAGATGTCTGAGGAGCCGGCTGGGCAATGCTACCTTCCTCTATCGCCAAGGTTTGCGTATTTTACTCCGACCAATAATGATTGCGGCAACTGGCCTTGGCACGTTCCTGGGAGTTCGCCAGCGTAGCGTTTCGACCCGCAAACGACCTTCGTTCGGAGTACCATCGCTCATCCGGGCTAGCCTTGCGCGGCAGCATTGTGGCCGGGGTTTACTACGTACATGTTGACATGGCCATGTTGAAGATAAACAGCTTCCCAGCCTTATCTCCCCGTGAGGCCCGGTCAGGCGTTGTACGTATACGTTCCCAGCAGGAAAACGGAAGCCCAAATGCCCGCTAGGTTAAACTAGGCAGATGATGCATCTTTGCTGGCATGGCTTAGCCATCCCTTGGCAGCTGAGGCGGCCATCCTAAATATATCAGGAAGGTGTCTTTGCATCTCATGTCACGAAGACGTCTAGGACATATCACATTCGACAGATGTCGGCGTGATGATGCCTTAGAGGAAGCTCGCATCGACTTGTCACCGACGATTAGGTATTGATCCTGTTTACCGCGCTCTGACTCTCTCTTCGCTCTACGCGGACTTGTAAGGACTTTGCCAGGACTATTTAATTCCTCTTGATATCCCCTTCTTTTCGTCACTTCTCACCACAGGTCACGGAAACTTCAGTCACCCATCCCAAGCCACCAGTTTCTAGTTCCTCTCCCGATAGAACACCTACATCATCTTTGCTTTCTTGGCCAGTGTACCCATTACCAGATTCAAGATGCAGATTCCTATCATCGCAAGTGCGCTCTTGTGCGCCAACATGGTGCTTGCCGCCCCCGGCACTGCCATGCGCCGCCAGCGAGCGGCCGACCGCATTGCTGAGAGAAGACTCGGACGATCTTCCAACACCATCCAGCGCGTTGACAGCGAGCTAGGAGTAACTACCAAGAATGGTACCTCTCACGTCGAGTACAGCTCCAACTGGGCCGGTGCTGTGCTTATTGGCAGCGGCTACAAGACCGTAACCGGCACCTTCGTCGTCCCCACGCCTAAGGCACCTTCGGGCGGTAGCAGCTCAACGACGTATTCCGCGTCCGCTTGGGTCGGTATCGACGGTGATACTTGCGAGACTGCCATCTTGCAGACTGGTGTAGACTTCACTGTTCAGGGGTCCTCGGTGTCGTACGATGCCTGGTACGAGTGGTACCCTGACTATGTGAGTGATAGTTCCGACCTTCAGAACTCCCATCAGGGCCTTTCAACATCTTTTCCCGGGAAACAGCCTATACGATCAGCTCACACATCAAAGCGTTGATGCTAACCCGACAATATAGGCTTACGATTTCTCTGGCATTCCCATTTCGGCTGGTGACACTATCACCGTGGTACGTATAGGACTTCTATCAATACCTACCGTCTCCTCCTACCTCGATGCCGGTGCTAACAACCCCATAGACCGTAACTGCCAGCAGCAAGTCCGCCGGAACGGCCGTCGTCGAGAACGTGACGACTGGCAAATCTGTCACTCACAGCTTCTCGGGAGAGTCCGACGCACTCTGCCAGACCAACGCCGAATGGATTGTCGAGGACTTTGAAAGTGGCGGCAGCCTTGTCAGCTTTGCGGACTTCGGATCTATCGAATTCACTGGCGCATCTGTTAACGGTGGCACCGGAACTAGTGGTGCAACTATCATCGATATCGAGCAGAGCGGGAAGGTCTTGACGGACTGCTCAGCTTCCGGATCCACCGTCAGCTGCTCATACTCTGGTTAGGTTCGGGTTCCCGATAGTCAGACTTGGCAGCGTAACCTTCGAAGATGCGTGACAATTTATAATTCGGGGGTGGCAGGACTGGTTACCAATTATGACCTATTAACTTAGCTTAGGATTAAATATTCCAAGATACTTAATTCAGGAAGGTTTCGTCCTCTAGAAGCATGTCTTGACAATAGCTACGGCGCGATGTGCAAGTAAAATACCTTGATAGTTGGCTTCCAATACTCTACTTCCTCGGTATATAACTTAGACGCAGTCGGTCCAGATGAATTATAATAGACCAGTTAACTCGCTTAGCTAAGGCCAAATAATATATCGAATTTGGCACCTGCCTGTCTGTTAGGAATTATGAATATTGGTCACATTAAAACTGCGAGTCGGATAAGATACCAATTCCGTGATAATTGCTACCTAATTTTCTTACTGAGGTAGGAAACGTCTTCCAGCTTAAGACGACACGTCCATAGATAATAATATGCATACTTTATAAATACCAGAACATTCACAATTTGAAATATCTCAGATAATTTTCCTTGCGCCCTGAATACCCGCCAGCAACCGACAGCGTCCGCCCCCTTCCCCCCGCACAATGACGAGATCCTCTCTTACACCGATGAATATGTTCCCATCCCATGCTGATTTCTCGTTTGCAGCCTTGTGGCCATTATGGCGGGTGCCACCTAGCTGAGAACTTTCTGGTCAAGTTCTCTCGGTGAGATATGAACCTGCAAGCCACTGAGAAACACCAGAGTACTATGGAAAACATGAGCTGTACGAACCTTAGAGATAGGAAAAACGACTTACCCGCAATCTTCCGTCAATTCTGCTTTATCAGCTAGCCTCATGTTGAAGTGCATCACAAGGGTGGGAACAAGCTAAGGATACATAAGCTACCAAGCGATACATTTGATTTTGATGCTGTCACATACCTTGCTGATTTCCAACCAAGTGATGTCTAGGTACATATTAGTTTCAAGATCAGGGAAAATCTAGGTACACTTACTTCTACCAATGCATGTTCGAGAACCGCCTCCAAATGCAAAGAAAAACCGCTCTAAAATCAGTAGTCAGTGGCTATTTCCGCAGTGACATTGGAGCGGATAGTCAAGAGGTCGTACTGAAGTTGCTCTCGTTCTTTTCGTCCAACCACCTCTCCGGGCAAAACTCTTCGGCATCTGTTCCCCAGATTTCTGGTGTTCGATGAATAACCCAAGCGCTAGTCCCAACCACCGTCTACTCAATCAGTATACATGACAAAGGATACGTGCGAGGTAAGGGATCTTACGCCAGCCGGCACATAATGCCCGTCGATTGTCATGCCACCTGGAGGCACATCCCTGTCGAGAATATCGCCAGCCGCTGGGTATAGACGCATTGCCTCGTATAGCACGGCCTGGAGATATGGGCATGACTCTGCCTGTTTGAAAGTTATGGGAAGACTCAACTCTCCCTTCCGTCTCTTGCTCTCTAGCTCATCCATCAGACGTCTGTACTTTCCGGGATGCTTCAAAAGCAAGTAAACTATTGCTCTCAATGTTGTTGATGTCGTGTCAGACCCGGCAAAAACGTTGGTAGTCATCATGAAGGCGATATTCGTGTCGTTTAGCTCAGGCTTCGCCTTCTGTACCGAGAGGAGTTGGCTGACGATATCCTTGTAGTCCCCGTCCCTATCCGTGCGCGCCTGGACTTCCTTGGTGGCAAACTCGAAAAAGTACGTATTGCGATCATTACTAGCTAACCAGTTTCCGATAATTGGCATGAGCGTTTGGTGCCATCTATATAGCCGAGGAGCATGTTTGACCCATCCGAGAGATCGCAATGCTCGTTGTAATCTAAGGAAAAGCCCGTTGTCTTCGCCGACCTCGACATACCCGAATGGTCGCGAAAAGCTTATAGCTCCAATGACATCTATAACGGAGTAGTCAGCACAAATGAAGTTCGAACTCCGTAACATTATGCTTGAGGTCGGGGTAAGTCGTTTCATACCGAAGGCAAATAATTGCATCCAATATCCCAAATCGATTGGTTCACCGTAAAACCCTTTCAACCGGGTTACTAGTGCGTTGATAACCGTGTCGACATGAGGTTCGAGATAAACCACAGAGTCCATAGAATAAGAGCGGGCCACTAGTTTACGCTGTTCCGAATGGATCTTCTCGTTTCTCTGGCCGGCAAGATCGAACGGTCGCGTGCCTTGGAGTACAGAGTATGATTGGGATTTATAGAACTTGTTCCCCGCTTCTACAGCAGTGGTTAACCTAGGGAGGTATGAGGGACGAGGAGTGAACCAGTCGTACTGTATATTTCTCGAAATGCCATGGGTTCCCCAACACTTCTGTTAGTAGTATAATAACACGTCAGTCAGCTCTACCTGGACCAGGTCGCCGTGCACGGGTCCAGATAAACTTACATTGTGTTCGGGCCAATACGGACCACGTTGCCGTACTTCTTATGTAGTTCAACGAGGTCACGGTGGACGTGCCCTCTCCTGGAGAGGTATGGATAATACAGTGAAGTGACCTTGGCGATGAATGGACCCGGGACTCGAGCTATGGGTGAAAAGAAGCATTCATAGAAAACATAGGCGCCTACGAATAGGACGAGGAGGCCAAGGAGGCCAGGGAGGCCAATGGGCCCACGAGCGCTCAAAAGTTGTCGTGCTGCTTCCATTCTTACTCTATTTGATCTGGGATATTTGGATGATTCAAGTAGGGAAACGGCTGGTATTTATATACCTTAAACCCCAAGGCAACTGCATCATCAAACAATTTCAACCTCGGCATGTACACATTATAGATCAACGTTGAACGACTCGATGAATGGATGGGTTCGGCATGGACACAGCATGGATATAAAGGGCATCCGAGTATTCAATCGCTGCATAAGTGAGCGTTGTGAATATATAAATCTTATCCTGATGAATAAGGAATGCATAACTTTTCAAGAGGTGCTCAAATTCCCGAAACCGGTACATAAAAGACTTATGGAAATATAGACCTAAAAATAGATGAGGGGGCATTTGGTTTAGTAAGTTTTCATTATTTGGATAATGAAGATGTTAGGACTTTATCCTAAGCTTATGAGCGGATATTGTGCATCTAAAGCAGTAGCCTTCTAACAAGATTCCTTACTAGAAATTTCTTAAAACCCGGCCCTAGATTTATGTGATTACTAAGTTTAAAATGTATAATTAGGACAAGGTAACGAGCTTTTCAAGGTGGTCCGGATGCGAGCAGTAGGTGGCCACAAACACTATATATTAAGTCTCTTTATATTAAGAGACTTACGAAAGGAAAGAAGAAATCTATCAAATAGGAGTCACACGGTCAATAGAGACGCTTTTGTTTGGGTCTCGAGGCGATCTTGGTGTCCGGCTTCAATGTCGAACCAGGCTCCATCCTGTAACGCGTATCCCTTGATTTGATCGTGGGGGGGGGGGGGGGGGGGGGGGGGGGGGGGGGGGGGGGGGGGGGGGGGGGGGGGGGGGGGGGGCCGGGGGGGGGGGGGGGGGCGGGGCGA